TTTCAAGCTAAAAGTGGTTAGTTGCGTTCAAAAAGTAGGTGTCATGACAGCATTAAGAAGGTACGGAACTCATTCTATTAAATACAGGTGCCTACGGCTCCTGGACATAACAGCATGGCTTCAAATTCTGCCAAAACATCCGCCTTTCAAAAGCAACTCGCAAAAGCTAAACTTGAAAAGAAAGAAAACGTCAACTGCTACAGTGCAATCCAATAAATATTAAATAAAACCAAGTTTCGCAAAATTGCATTTGAGAACGACCGCTTCTAATCAGAAATTAGGTCTTTCAGAAGGGAAGTATGTAATTCTACTATGGGGTTTACTTAGATGGATCTTGGTTGTTTACTCTGAATATTTTACAGTATAAATCCTTCTGTGTTTATTCGATAAAAGAGCTCTAAAAACATAGTTTTTAAAGAAATTGAGTTCTAATCTAGTTGCACAACAAAAAGTTCTATCCTGATTCCCAAACTAGTTTTAAAAAGAACCAAGTATATTTAAGCAGAAAAACTTTTTCCAACTTTTCTATATCTTCAGAAAACTTCCAGCAGACTAAGTGGGGACAAGCAAGGTAACTAACCATACGTTCAAAAAACGAACAAAAATGCCCAATGTACTACCTATGTAGAGCTGAGGTTGCCGTAGTTTTATTGTAAAATTAATGCAAGCTCATTTTAATAGGTGCGTTGAGCCTGCTTCCAGAGAATCGCAAAAAATTTTTATCTTTAATCTCCAGTGCGCCAATGCGTTGGCTTTCGGAAAACTATTTTCAACTCTCATAATTATGCCAGCTCAACACTTCTGCAAGTCCTGGCTTCATTTTGAGACTGCAAGTCTTGAGCTATTGTCAGGATTTCGAAACCGTTGAAGTGAAAATCTCTGTCCTATCGTTTCAAGCTAAATGTGACCAGTTGCGTTCAAAAAGTAGAGGTCATGACAACATTAAAAAGCTACAAAACTCATTTGTTAGATCCAGGGGCCTATGGCTCTTGGACAAAACGGCATGGCTTCAAATTCTGTCAAAACATCCGCCTTTCAAAAGCCACTCGCAAAAATTAAACTTGAAATGAAAGAACAGAAACAAGAAACGTCAACTGCAACAGAGCAATTCAATAAAAATTGAGCAAAACATTTGAGAACGACCGATTCCAAACAGAAATCAAGTCTTTCAGAAGGGAAGTAAACAATTCTGATATTGGGTTTACTTAGATGGATCTTGGTTTTTACTGTGAATATTTTACAGTATAAAATCTTCTGTGTTAATTCGATATAAAAGCTATAAAAACATAGTCTTTAAAGAAAATGAGTTCTTATCTGGTTGCACAACAAAAAGTTCTATCCTCATTCCTAAACTAGTTTTTAAAAAAACCAAGTATATTTAAGCAGAAAAACTTTTTCCAACTTTTCCATATCTTCACAAAATTTCCAGCAGACTAAGTGGGCACAAAGTAAGGTAACTACAAATTCAGCTTACTGATTAGTTAAATGATAAAAATGATGTATCAAATTTTTGTACTTAAATTATTCATAATCTGTACACAGAAATCAAAAGTCAAAAAATAGAAGCTTGAGCAATTTCATTAATCACGCCATAGCCAACAAATAAATTGAAAAAGAAAGATCTCGAGGAAACCAAAAAAGACTGATGTATATCATCTGTTTTTTTTGAAACTTTGAGCTTTTTGTTCCAACCCTTGAAAAAGGGGAGGAACTTTGTATTCGGGTGAGAAAATCCCGCTAAAATCTTTGATTTTGTTTCTAAATTCGAGCTAATAAGGTAAGCGAGCAGGCTTACAGAAAAATTAGCCATGAAATTTTAACTATTTTCCTGAAGTTTTTTGAAGTTTTCAGCGCCACTTTTGGAATAAAAACTTTAAAAATTCAAAACAATTTCTCTAAAAAATCAAAAAAAATGGAAGCTCTTTTAATTTTGAATTTAGTTTTTGTTTACTTTTATTAAATTTTTTTAATGTCGTTCGAATCACAACTGAAATGGCTTTAAACTGACATATCACTCCACCCAGTCCGATGATTATTTGTGGTATCTGATAAACTAAAACACACCTGTAAACTAAAACACACCTGTATACAAATTTATTCACCATTTTCAATGGTCGGAACTACTAGAGTCCCAAAAGGAAGACTAAAATAGACGCGAAAATTAATCGAAATCATGAGTTCATAGACATGGACAACAAATATTTTTACAAAATAAACTTCGTTCAATAAAAAAAATGAATACATTCAAAATAGTGTCTTCCTACAACAGTAGCTTTGGATAAATTGATCCAGAAGCGAACCGATAGAGCTTCAGCCGATAACAATTGGGCCGAAAAATCCCTGAAAAATGAGTCAGACTTCTCACGCAAGGAAAAACATTGCAGCCATAATGAGAACTTAAGCATGATCAATTTGAGGATTTGAAGAAGAATAATGGAAACTAAGTCGACAATAACTGAGAATAGCGAAAAACTGGAACTTTTTCGAACTATTTTCGAATAGAGGCAAAAAAGATCCGGCGAACTACATATCTCCGTGGGATAAACTAGAAAAGTTACCTCTTAACCACTTAATCATTGAAGAATACAAAAAATGATTTTATTAATGAAACAAGATGAAGTACCATTTAAAAAAAAACAAGTTCAACTGAATCAAGTACCGATGTTAAGACTTACAATGCCTTCGACTACTGAGCGTGATTTATAGTCGAAGAAATCAAAACACTGTAAATATATGGCGCTGATTTAAATTATCGGACAAAACGCATTAAACTCGGAATTTAAAATGCGTTTTTCTTAAATTGAGTTGACTTAAGGTGAAAAATGATGAAGACAAAATGGGTCTTCTTATGCACTGAATGGCCCGAAAATCAAAGATGAACCAAAATGAAAATTACCAAAGTTCCTGATTATCTAATATTAGGCAATCGTATTCAAGCAGCTAGCTCAGGCGTTTTGATCGACAATTAGCATTTCAGGTAAACATATAATGCAATAGTCGAAATGACCAAAAAAATCGAACTTTTGTCAAATAATCAAATTAATTTCAAGTCACTTGTGAAACTTTGCCTAGACAAGAATAGTTCTGTAAAATGGCTTCAAGAAAACAATTTAAGCAAACCCAGCATTTGTTCGCATGGTCACGAAATAAACCTACAATTATCGGGAAAAAAGTATAGATGGCGATGTCGAAAAAACGGATGTGGCGAAACTTGCGGCAAACAAAAAGGAACATTTTTTTTTGGAAAACACCCATCTACCGTTGACGAAATTTTTTTAAAAATCAATTCAAGGGCATATGAGCTCCCTATTTTAACTTAGCCAAGAAGAGCTTGATCTAGATATTCATTCGACTGTTGATCGGAATTCATCTATGAAAAATATGCGTTCTTGCCCTTCTTAACGAGCCTACTGTTATTGGGGGAGTAAAATTGTCGAAATTGATAACCGTTTTTAGTCACGTCGAAAAATAACATAAGCCAGATTTACCCAGAACAATTGGTTATTGCTCTAATATGTTAATGCCGTGAATCGAGAATCTAAGGAAAAATTTCTATATGCCGTCCCTGGTCGCTCTCCCGCGACCCTTATTTTTATCATACGACAGTCAATACGTCCCGGAACGCTTTATTGTTTCGACGAAAGAAAAGCTTACAGTGGCATCATAAATGAGGGTTTTTATCACGAAATTGCAAATCATAGTCAAAACTTTGTCGACCTGATCACTTTCGGCCATACGAACAGTATCGAAACCAAGTGGACAAATGCGAAAATGCGACATAAGCGTCGATGTGGAACGTCAAGAAGGCAAATGCACTCGTAGCTATGCGAATTTATATGGTGAGAGCGTTAAACTGTATGAAAAAAATGTGATCAATATGCCCAAATTGGGAAAATTGCTCTTTTGGGTTGCTCTCTGAACTCCCTTTGTATATTATGTAATAACAGAGGTAAATGTAGGTTGATTACGATTTTTCAATATAATTTGAAATTTCTCACCAGTATCTTCTTTTTAGGCCGTTTGGTGCACAAGACCCGACAAAATTTGCGTAGAATTTTAGCAGAATTAGATTGATGCAATTTGTTTGCGTTTTTGGCAAAAATCGGACCCAAAATTTTACTCCATCAAAAATACATCATTTTTGGCTTTGTTAGTCAATTAAAAATTATGCTGAAACTGCCCTGTCGATTACTGACAAAACTATATCAGAAGAGCTTTTTCCGAAGCCCAAAAACTTTAAAAAGAGTATAATCTCCAAAATATTGCATAAACTAATTTTTTGTTCCTAAATTTTTTATTTATTTACTTTTCCAATTTTTTTTATTTTAAAACAATTTTTAAACATTCAGCTAAATTATTTCGGAGAGAACACCCTTCTTAAAGTTTGTTGGGCTACGTAAGAGGCTCACTTTGATATAATTACGCCTGTGATCGACGAGGTAGCTTAGGCGTCGTAATTATTGATTTAGCTAAAAAACCAAAAATTATCCATTTTTGTTGAGGCAAAAACCTGGGCCCAAATTTCGCAAAATAATTTGCACCATAATAGTTCTGCTTAAATTCTATGCAAATTTTGCCTCATTGTTTTCCACCTTAAGTCAGCCCAATTTGATAAAAACGCAGTTTCAACTTCAGGTTTATTGCCTTTTATCCGGATAACTTAGATCAGCTCTGATAACACCTATTTTTTTCACGAATTTCAACGAAATTAAATACGATCAAAGAAGAGTCCAGCCTATTTGGCGAGAAAGCAAAACTTCAATGAAACCATCAACGCTACGACACTTCAAGATATATCCGACCAAACAACTTCGAAACGGCAAACTGCAAGAAAAATTCATGAACGCAAAACTTTTGACAGATATTACCTTGACGTTCTGAAAAAAACCATCAATGGAAACAGACAAATTTGTAAATCGATCTAACTCTGATGACTGATTAACAATCGAGGAATGTACATAAATTATAATAAAATCAGGAATTTGTTATTTTGAACTTACCCCGAGGTGTTAGCTGCAAAGTTGTGTAGTCATACCACATTTTCGGTCAAAACTGGCATAAAAATGTAAATACTATTCACTCTGCAAATCCTGTGTGACTTTCTATGACTCTCGCTAAGGTTCACAAGTAAATTATGAAAATACAGACACAGTTTTCTTCACAAATATTCGCTTATCACTAACGTAAAAACTTATTTTTCACCGACTCGTAGTTTAATAATTATTATACATGCAGCTGCTTAACAATTCTACCAATATTCTAAAATGAAGATATTCAAATGCAATTCAAAGCTCAGGCAGAATTAGATATCAAAATGGTCTAAGACTGACTTCGATGTGTAATAAAACTGATTTTATCAATGAAAAACAAAAAATAAATAGTAATTGATTCAGAGAGTCGTAAATTTTTACGACGATGCGAGTATCATCACGACAACGTTTCAGTAGTTAAGATTTACGAAGTTTAGATCATGCAGAAAATTGAAACCTTCAGGCTGTTTGATACGAGATAAGATATTTGATATTAAAAAACAACCATAATATCTAATAAAACAGTTTATGATGCCATGAATAACTTATGCTAGCTAACATTTTCACGCTTATGAGCTGTCTTCACGCTCATCTAGCGAGGCGGTATTGACAACAACTCAGAGGACTACCTTTTAAGGGTGCCGCAATCAGCATGTTTTCGCAATAGGACAGAAATATGTATGTGCAAAACAAAGCTTTTCCAGATCAAAAAATCCAAATAACGTTGACGTTTTACGCGTATAAATCAGAGTCTTAGTATTAGAAAAACTTTGGGAAAAAAGAGTGTGGTAGTATCATTGCAGAGGCCATGAGCGTAGTGGTAAGTTAAAGCGTGCGAGGACGAGATCCCATTTGGCCTCTAGCATCAAGTCCTGCACAGCCTGGCCAATTGCACCAGCAACAGTGGTACCACATCAAAGTTCTAGACGCAAAAAAAAATTGGACTGGAGTCGGAAGAAAGAGCTTCGCATAAAACAACTCAGTCTGGAATGTGTGAAAGAATATAAATTGACTAGCTGAGACAGGCCTGTTAATGCCTGCTGATAGTTCCTTTGTGCAGGAACTAAAATATTATTGGCGTCTCACAGTCGTTACGAGGCTAAACTGTGCACTGGAGAGACGCACAATTTTGTGTCTGTATGTTCCCGGATTCTAGAGACAAATTTTTAATTAGGTTCCAAAATTTTAGTTAACTTCGCCCACAAAAATTCAAGATACTCGATCAATCTAGTCTACGAAAAGAAAAATTGTCAAGCATTTTCGGCAGCAAAAACTAATTATGCCGATTAAAGTTTCTTTTTTTAAATATTTTTAAAACATCTTTTACAAAAAAACCAGAGACGTTTTTTTCTTCATTTTTTGTAAATCTTTAGTCGTTTTTTAGCTGGAAAAAGAGGCGATAGCGGGTAGCTGAGGATAAAGAAATTACTAACAAATTGAATAGTTTAATTTATCCCTTTATCCTCAAAACACAGCAAAGAGTAAATTTCAATCAAAGAATCAATTTATCAATTATTAGCTCTCAAACGCATAAAATTCTAATTGTTTTTCTCGACACTGGTAGAAAATTTTCTGATATTTTTAAGATTCAGATCAAAAGTCAAAGTTCTTTATTGAGCTATGTTACTCCAACTTAGCAGACGTCTCTTAGTGTTACGTCTCTTAGTATTTTTGTGAATTTTTTTGGTTCAATGCATAAATGCATCGTATCGAAATCCTATCAAAAGCTTATTTTTTTTAAAAATGAAACTATCTGAATAACTAATTCTAACTAGCATTTTTAAAGCAGTGAATCTTTCATTTTTGACGTTTTTCAAAAGAATGCCAATCGTACAATTTACACTAAACGAGGAAAATATATTTTAGTTGTCTTTTTAGTCGCAAGTCACTTCTATGCTAAATACAGGCGCAAAGCTTAGCTTCACTCCGTTTATGCTACGTTACAAAGAAAACACGTGAAGCTAGCCGACAGAAAAAGAAAAATCTAAAATATTCGAAATTAAATTAAAAAAAAAAAAGGTTTAACTGATCCGACAATAATTCTGTGTCGTAGAAAACTATTGTCAAAAAAGCGCAAATCGAAATTATGCAGGCACCCCAAAGCACGCGTACGCAAGCAAATCAATTGTTCAACAAAGCAAATAAAGCGATGTAACAAACCGAAAAAAAAAACTATTGAAGAGAAAAAAATACTATAAAACTGGTTTTGGTGAATGCAAAACCAACATAAAATTAGATTTCGAAAAGAAAAATTAATGAAAATGCAGACATGCTCATTAATGTCTAAGAGTAAAGCCTCCGACAGAGTTAACCATTGAAAAGATGATTCGGTGTTTCTATTTGACAAGTTGTTTACAAAAAAAATCTGCTTCTGATTTGACAACGCTAGCTAATCGCAAGCGTAGACAAAACAATTTCGGAAAAAATCACAGTCGCAGAAACCTTTGTAAAAACGTAGACCAAATACTTTTTTCACAAGAAACAAAAATCATACTGAGTCTTTTATGCGACGCAAAAATTGTTTTTTTTTTACTTTTCTACGGTAGGACAAACTGCAACCTGTCGAAAACAGGCCGACTCTCAAACAAGGAGATTTTTTAAGCTTTTAGTTTTTTGACGGAAAAAAATGTGCTTTAACTCACATGGCGAACCTCCAAACACCGTAGTTTCAGGGTGCAATTATTGCCACTTAACCAATACGTTTCTTATTCGAAAGACTCCTAAGCTATTGTTTTAGGACAACTGAAAAAATATAGCGTTACTAGCACATAACTTGCACCTACGGTGCTTTAAAAAGAATATTGAACATAAAACTTGCTTTTTGATAATATAAAACAAAACGAAATTTATTGCAATGTTAAAGTAGACTCAATACTGGTTTTCAGACGTTCGTATTTCTAACACAGGATAAACACCCTAAAAAAGCAGGCAACTCAACTGAACTGCTCATATTGTAAATCAAAAGTTCCAAAAACAATTATTTTGTTCTGTATACCCTATAACTTATCTATCACATCCATCAATCGATTAATGTCAGCGTAATTAATCAAGAAACAGCAACCAAAAAACTCTACTCAATTTGAAAAATTAAAAAACATATCTGTAAAACTAGCATGATTTGATCGGTCACATCAGCAACCCTGTGAGTACCCTGACATCACCCCCAAAAATAGTGTCAAGAATTTCCACAATTTTTGAACAACAAACTTTACGAAAACTTTTGAAACAATCTTGAAAATGCCATATATCTGAATAAAGTCATGTTTGGGTACCAAATATGAAAAACTGGGAACACCTGCATTACCCCACCCGTGGGCCGAAAGTTTCAACTTTTTACAAATCTAATAAAAAAACTTTGAACCCAATTTTTTTTAAATCATAGGAACTACTAGGATTTCAGTAATGATCTTTAACAGCCTCATCTGCGTGCGACCCCCGGAGTAATTTGAAGTCAGATTAAACAGATTCGAGAGTTTCATATATTGATAAACATTGTTTAATATTCAAGCGTTTTGAAAAGTTATGTCAAATCAGAAAAAACGTATTCCTCAAAAAAAAGGATTTGATCAGTCATATTTGTGAGGTGAAGTTTGCAACACGTGAGAAGAATCCATCAGCACCCAACCATAGGGCTGTTCTTTTCAATTTCATTGAAAAAAAAATGAAACAAAAATCTGCTCATAACTTTGCGCTGCGAAAAAAATGGAGATTTTATAGCCTTCGCTCTGCAACAGATGTAGGATGAACACCGTAAATGATCTTGGAATTTGGCATTCAATTGCTCGTATGGACAAAAAGACGTAACTGAAAATTTGTAAAGAAAATTTAAAACGTTGACTTCAGTACATAGGGACATGTGTCTAAGCAATCACCAGTTAAATCAGGCATCGATTTTTATTTTATGAACAAAAAGCTAGTCCAAAATTTCATTCAAGGAATAAATGCTGGCCATGAATTTCTATAATTAAAAAAGCTTGTCATGCTGTTTCTATAAATTTTTCTACTATAAAAATTATTGCCAGAAATCTTGACGAGAATCGCTTTTTTTGCTTTTCACAACATACTAATGGTTAACAAATTTAAAAAAATGCAAACAAGGACAAAAAAATTCCTGATACAAAACTACCTGCACTATTAGAAAACGTACAAAGAGCTTTTATAATGCTAAAAAGGAACCGAACCTTTTCAGTTTGGACAAAAAAACAGGTTCCGACTGAGATTGACCTGCTGGGATTTGTCCTCAAGCGTGAGTGTTACCACAGCACTAAAAGCATAGAACACTCCTTGAGTTTATAAAGAAAAACGACTTTTAAAAAATTTCAAAGAAGAGCATAAAGAAATTTTTTTAAAAAGGCTTAAAAATATATGCAAAACTTCTTGGAACTCAATTACTTGGCAAAAACCGGATACACTGAAACTTTTTTGAATTTAAGGAAAGAATTCCCAACTTTTAGGCAAATTTGGTGTTGCGGTAACTAAGCCGACAAAAAAGCAGACAAACAAAAGTCCAACAAAGATTTTTTCACGCACAGAAAAGTTTTTGCTTAAAAAAACAGATCCTGACCGGATTCGAACCATTGGCATTGGTTTTAGTAGTCAGGTGCGTTACCTCTTCGCCACATGCGCGACCTTCCATCAGACTTTTGATTTCATATGAGCCAAGGTAAAATGATTCAAGTGATTCTCTTTAACAAGTTGTTAACCCAAAAGCCTACATTCCTCCTGTTTGATAACGCTTGCTTATGACAAGCGTAAGAAACGTATTACAATCTGCTGGTTTATGAGTTCAATTAAAAGTAAAGAAAACTTTTTAAAATGTTTTTCCAAAAATAACATCAAAAAACTCTCCGATTCTTGCACAGCGTTTTATCGAGATTGATTTCAGTGTATACATTTTCTAGAAACTTGAAAACTGACAGTAAAGTACTTCGCAATTGGTGTTACTTTATAATGATCAATGCTCAGTACCGACTTAAACTTCTGTGGCTCCCGTAGTTAAGTTGAAAACAAACATTAAGCAATTTATTGTTTAGACTCTAACATAGAACCAAGCGCAAAAGTGAATCAGTTTGATTTAAGTTTCAGGTTTTATTCTTTTTCGATCAACTATTCTCTGACCACTTCTAATGAGCAAATAACAATCTTTTCAACAAAACCGAGTTGCCTCAAAGTCAGCTTCCGAATAGGTGAAGAAGGAGCTCTTTCACAACCAGCACGTTAAGACCATTTCCCAATAACTTATACCTCTGCTTCATCGTAATTGAATCTGGAAACTCGAACCAGCTCGGATAACAAT